CACACACAGACACACACACACACAAACTCACTCACACACACACACACTCACACAAACTCACACACACAGACACACAAAGACACACACACACAAAAGGGTGAAGTGGGTTCTGGACAAAATACCAGAGTTTGGAAGCTGGGAGATCTCTAAGGGAGCCATTTCCCAATGCTCCTCAGGGAGCTGATGGAACCCCTTCTTTTGTTCATTGGTTAACAATCCCCTTTCCTCTCCCGATTAGATCGCAAGGGCCTGGGGGCTGGCACCACCTCCGTGGGCCTGGGATCCTCGAGGAGGAGCAGTCAGGAAGACCAGGACCTCAGGTACTGCACCATCGCCGACGGCGGCAATAATAACACGGTGAGTACGGCCAAGCCCGGTCTGGTTTGGGGTTGGGGGTTGGGGATAGTAACTGTAAAATCATCAAGGGGAGGTAGAGGTTGCTAAATTCCCTGGGCCTGCTCCACCAATCACTGAGACCTGATCTGCAACCCTCAGCCTACTCACTTCGCCTCTTCTCCAATCCCTTTGATGCAGGGCTCCCCAAAGATGAGGGGTTAGGGAAGTGGCGTCGGGACCCCAAGCTAAGGGTCAAGGAGACAAAGTTTTGGGTGGGGCGCAATGTATAGGCCCCAAAACGGGCTCGCAGTGGGAACCGATCCCACAAAACAAATGACCATTGCGAGGTTGGGCCTGTTGGGCTTCGAGAGGCCTCGCAATTCAAGATGATCGCCAAGGGTTACGTTTCCGGAAAGTTAGTTCAAATTTGATTCAAGCTGCCCAGCGCTGTGAATGGGGTGAGTAGCTGTGTTAATTCAGTGGATACCCATACACTAACCTTCACCATCGTTCGATTCCCAGCAAATTCATCACCTACTCTCCATATCCTCCCGCACCCAGAGCTGATTGAAACACTGTCCTTCCCCACTTTTAAAGCTCCAGTTGAACACCCGCCCCACAATCTCTACGCAAAAGAATTACTGAGATTAATCCCTTACAGATTTGTCTGCAGAAGTGTTTCTTGATTCATCCAATTTTAAGGTTGTGGTTTTCATGTTGGTTTTTAATCGGAACAAAATGGTGTTTCTGTATCTATGCTTTTGAGATGTTTATTTAATAATGGAGTGAGGCATTGCCAGCTGTGGCCATCATTTACTGTCCCGTCCCTAGTTGCCCCCCTTGAGAAGGTGGGGGTGAGCTGCCTCCTTGAACCACTGCAGTCCATGTGCTGTGGGTTGACCCACAATGTCCCTTAGGGAGGGAATTCCAGGATTCTGACCCAGTGACGCTGAAGGAACAGGGATATATTTCCAAGTTGGGATGGGGAGGGGAATGTACAGGGGTTCTGGGTGTTCCCATGTATCTGCTGCCCCTTGTCCTTCTGGATGGAAGTGGGTCGTGGGTTTTGAAGGTGCTGCCTGAGGACCCTCGGTGAATTTCTGCAGTGCATCTTGTAGATGGTATCCTGGAGCTCCCTCCCTAAGGGACATTGTGGGTCTACCTACAGCACATGGACTGCAGCGGTTCAAGAAGACAGCTCACTGACACCAGAACAGTTAGCGATGGGCAATAAATGTGGTCTGGCCCAGATAACACACACACACACACACACACACACCATCACCCTTAACTTCAACCTCCCTTGCTCAGAAATGGGCTGCAACTTCTCTGGGTTCAGCGAGTGTTAAGGCGTGTCCTAAAAGGGGAGTGATTTAGGGAGGCGATTCCAGAGCTTGGGATCCAAGGGGCTAGAGGAAGCCGTGTGGGAGAGATTAAGATCGGGGCGCCTAGGAGGCTACAATTGGAGAATCCGTGAGATTTTGGAGAGGGGCCTTAATGCCAGGAAGAGTTCATAGGAGGACGAAGTGAGGCAGCAGAGGGATTTGATAACCAGGATGCTAATTTTAAATTGAACTCAGATGATTTCTGGACGGAGCTTCATAGGAAAACAGTTAGTGCTGTCGGCTTTTAAGTAAGTGGCCACGTGGAGTGCTTCTCTCTCCCTTCATATCTCCTCACAGCTGAAGGAGCTGGAATGCCAACGGGATGCCCTCTTGCACGGCCTGGAGGTGGTGGAGTGGGCACGGGACTGGTACCGTCAGCAGATCCTCGCCCTGCACCAGAGGCAGAAGCATGTCAGGCGGGTCATCGGGAACAAGGTGAGCTCTGGCGCGGCCAGCTGAGGGAGGGGTACCCCACTGCGACCTGCTGTCCTGCCCGGGCCGAGCGGCCTCCTCTCTATCCCATCACCAAGCCAGCCGGCTTCCTGCAAGTCCAGGCACACAGAGAGACATTTCGAGCCAAAGTCAGGACCAGGCCCGGAATTTCAGCTCGGAATTCCCGGTCCATCAAGATGCTCGTGCCCAGCGGCTCCCCTGTCCATTCCACCCACGGAGATGGGAACGTCAGAACAGGAGTAGGCCATTCTGGGCATTGAAGCTGTCCCTACCATTCAATGTCTGAATAAAACACCTTTTTAGCCACATCGTCCCCTTTACACCATCGCTCATCAACAAGGTATTCGCCTCTAGAACATAGAACAGTACAGCACAGTACAGGCCCTTCAGCCCACAATGTTGTGCCGACCTATTATCCTACTAAGATCAAACTACCCTGCACACCCTACATTTTACTATCCTTCATGTGCCTATCCAAGAGTCGCTTAAAAGTCTCTAAAGTATCTGACTCCACTACCACTGCTGGCAGTGCATTCCACACATGCACCAATCTCTGTGTGAAGAACCTACCTCTGACATCTCCCCTATACCTTCCTCCAATCACCTTAAAATTATGCTCCTTCGTAGTCGTCATTTCCGCCTCTACTTTGAATGTACTCAAGGACTGAACTTCTGGGTACAGCATTCCAAAAATGCACCACCCTCTGCGTAACAAACAAAAATCTCATCCTCTCGATCCTAAGTGGCGTCGCCCTCACTTTTCAAACAGTACCTCCTGATTGTAGCCTCCCCCAGGCAAGGGGAACACCTTACCTGCACCTTCCCTGTCTATCCCTTTATATTTTGTAAGTTTCAGTGAGATCACCTCCCATTCCTGAAAACTCTAGATGCCCAGCTTGACCAATCTCTCTTTACAGGGCATTCCCACTCAACCCGAAACCCATCTGGTGAACATCTACGGCAGTAGTTCCCTTCCTGAGGTAAGGAAGCCTATACTACACAGAGTTCTCTAGGTGCACTCTAACCAAGATCTGATACAATTGAAGCAAGACTTCGCTGCTCCTGTATTCAAATCCTCTTGCTATAAAGGCCAACGTTCCTGATAGCTTGCTGCACCTACATGTTCATCTCACGTGATTTATTGACCAGGCCACCTAGTTCCCCGTGAACATCTCACTCTCCAACCCCCTACCGTTTAAATAATATTCTTCTCATCCATTCTTCCGACCAAATTCATCCCAAAGGTCCTCAGGCAGCACCTTCCAAACGCATGGCCACTTCCATCTAGAAGGACAAGGGGCAGCAGATACATGGGAACACCAGCCCCCTGCAAGTTCCCCTCCGAGCCCCTCCCCATCCTGACTTGGAAATATATCCCTGTTCCTTCAGCGTCGCTGGGTCAGAATCCTGGAATTCCCTCCCTAAGGCACATTGTGGGTCAACCCACAGCACATGGACTGCAGCGGTTCAAGGTGGGGGGCAACTAGGGACGGAGCAATGAATGCTGTGCCCAGCCAGCGACGCCCACATCCTGTGAGAGAATACAAATGGACCCTTGCTTGTTAAGAATCGATCTGTCCCTGCTCTAAGAAAGTATCCAAGGATCCCTGCCCTGAGCTTTGAGGGTGGGATTGTTCTTCCTCCGAGGTCTTCCTGCCCACCAGGATGGCTCACAGCCTGCCTTGCGCTGCCCACTTACTCACTGTGTTACCCTCCTGTTCCAGGATCAACTCGCCCAACCTCCCCAGGACCGAGCCTGCAGGCTATTGGCCAAGATCCAGGAAGTGAACTGCTGCCTTGGAGACCTCATTTGCTCCTCTGGGAAGGTTAGTCTCTGTGAAGGGATGGTGACTGTGGCCGTTGGAAATGAGCCGCTCTCTCTCTCTCTTGGGTTGTCTGTGGCTTTGGGACAGTGAGATGCTGGGGGCTGGGTATGGTGAGGTGGGTGTGGGATGTGGATGGAGGTGGGAGAGGAAGA